TGACAAATAGCCAATTCCATACACGAGTCAAAACAGTGCGGTAATGTTTACATTACCGCACTGTTTCTTCGAAACTGTGCGGTAATGTTACATTACCGCACTGTTTTGACTCGTGTATGGAAGTGCTCGGCAAGATGAAATCTGTATGGATTAATCGCATTATCGCACTTCATCGAAGTCGGTTGGAAGCTTGATTGCTCGGATCGCATCGGGATAATCGAGGGATTCAACATCTACTATTGTCCCATAATGTCACCGTTGAATGTCAACTGCAACGGTTCCATGCTTAATAGCACCATCAAGGCAGATGCGCGTACGATACATGGCACTATTGACAATCTGAAGCCCTACACCACGTACATGCTGAATGTCGCGGTGCTGACGAAGAGCGGCGAGGGTTTGCGTAGTGATCCTCTGTATAATACCACTCTCGAAGCGGCGCCCAGCACTCCACCGTTAAACGTGAGAGTCACTGACAAATCCAATACGACACTGCATATCTCATGGAAAAATCCGCAGGCGATGAATGGCGTGCTCAGATACTATGAGATCGAGTACAACGGTCAAGTCATGAAAGTGGAGGAAATAACTCATATCAAACTGATGGGTTTGAAACCGTATACGAAGTATTCTATTAGAATCTCCGCATGTACCGTAAAGTGCAGTGAAAAGTCAGAGACAGTAAATGAGTTCACGAGAATTGGTGTACCCGGCAAAATCAATATGCCTTTAGTGCGCTTCGTGAACTCCAGCCAAGTGATCGTCCAGTGGGAGCCACCGCAAGAACCGGCCGGTCCAGTAGAGGCCATGTATTACGAAATGGAGTACGGAAATGGCATAGTTCAAAACGTCTCTAGAACAGAAGTGCAATTGCCCATTCCCGATTGCAAGAACGTCGAGCACCGAGAGCAGAAGCACAAGTTCCGGGTCAGAGCTGTCAATACCAATCATAACGGCCAGATTTTGAAAGGATTCTGGTCCGACTTTGGGGAGGGGAATTGTTATAATAACGGACTGTCGAACGTCGCATTGGTTATCATATGGATGGTTGGCGTCTTTAGTATCACAGCATGCATCGCGTGCCTCGTGTACATGTTCAAGAGAATGTGGATAAAATGTCGAGCTATGCGAGATGTCGAAGTGAAACTACCGCCCGGACTTGCTCCAGATATGAAGCTGCTTGAGAAGAACAATGAACTACACATACGGCAGCCGTCCGCCGATTCGAGTGGCTGTTCGAGCGGTCAAGAATCCGTTACCTCTTCGCTTACGGCGGAATCTCAAGTTTGCAGTGACAGCGGCACCGAGGTCGATGCGGTGCGTACACCATCTGACAAAGTGAAGAGCCAGCCTGTCCGCGAAATGACCCATCTGCGACAGAGAAGCACCACACGAATACCGGCTTCATTATTATCGGAGGTCACGCCCTGGGAGTATGTCAAAGTTGGCAATTCCGGTGAGGCGACTTCCGAGGAGACTGTATCATTAGCGCGGTCCACGCCTAATTTGACGAACAGCGCAATGTTGAAGAGCTACTCGCCATCGCAACACGCCTGGTCCAGCACAAACTACATCAGCATGCCGTCCTCTTCTGAGGCGCTATTGAGCAACCCGAGCCTCATTCCGCGAAAGAACACCGCTGGCGGCAACAGTGGCGACGGCGACAGCAGCAAGGAGTTTCTTCGAAACTGTGCGGTAATGTTACATTACCGCACTGTTTTGACTCGTGTATGGAATTGGCTATTTGTCA